AGAGAGAGACCAGAGAGAGACTCGAGAGAGACCAGGGAGAGACCGGAGAGAGACCAGAGAGAGACTAGAGAGAGACCTGAGAGACCAGGGAGAGACCAGAGAGAGACCAGAGAGAGACCAGAGACCAGAGAGAGAGAGACCAGAGAGAGACCAGAGACCAGAGAGAGAGAGACCAGAGAGAGAAAGCAGAGAGAGAGAAAGCAGAGACAGACTAGAGAGAGAGGGAGGCCAGAGAGAGAGACCAGAGACAGAGACCAGAGACAGACTTTAAATAAAAATGAAACCAGAACAGACAATTTTCAGTCTATTCATAGTGTTTGTCTCACGGCAGCAGCAGAAAGACAGACTTTTTTAGAACCAGGAGCAGAATCCAAAAATATATGCATCGTCAGAACTATTTTAAACCAATAAATATGTAATAGAATACTTGATAAACCGAATGCAGAAAAAACATGACCGGGAACCTCTCAAGCAGCAAATGAGAAATACATAGTTCCCACAGACCAATGAATGTCACATGACCTCCTCGGAGACGCCATCTTTGATGGCACGCTACTGTGTTTGTGCATTCCATTAAACAGAAGAATGAGAATAAATGTAGATATTCAAACGCAAATTGGAAAAAAAGGGCAACTTTTGAGCAAATAATTGTATATTAATACAATGGCACCACAGTTTAACGTGCTACGGACATGTTTTACATATTTGATCAAATTATGCAGCAAAAATTAACAAGCAATGCAAACATTTCTCAAAAACTTTAGATTTAATACCAGTTGGAGCTCCATTTAATTATTTTAATTATATTAACAATTAATTTAATTAATGCTAATGCCACACGGACACTCTGGATTGCTGTTATTGTTTATTTCCGCGTTTTTGACCGTATGTTTTGGTGAATGGTGGGCAACTGATTTTTCCAGGCGTAAAGAGCAGTTTATTTTATGACACAGATCTTTTTACAGAAGCAATGCTGTTTGTGAACATTGTTTTAGCCCACCATAGAACTATTATTATCTATTTAATACATTTACGTTGCCCTCGAGAGCCTCGGACGCGACACCGATCCTCCTCATAATAAAGTAATCTAAATAATGAAACTCTCAAGTTACCAGATATCAGCATACACAAGTTAGTACTGAGTAAATTACGTCTGTCAACACATTATAAGATACGATACGCACCTGACACAAAGTGCTCCGAGCATATTCTTGCGTGTTTTGAGGGAGTTTCTTGCCTGTTTATCTTCGCAAGCCATAACCTCCGTGGTTGTTCTGACAAAAGCTTAGTCTTCTCACATTCATGAAGTCTAATGATGGGTATACTGTAAAATCCAAGTTTAACGGAACCTCCGGCACGATTTGAACATCCATTGACCCAGCAGGAGATGACCATTTTCAACTTTATCACGACATTAACACGTTTCAGCTTCTTTTTCTATTGTTTTGCCCACAGAATGCCAAGACAAATGGCGCCGGGTCGGCAAATCCCCGTATGTAGTGACGTCATGTAGGAACTATGTATAGAAGATAGGTATGGGTTAGGGTTAAAGCTGGGGTACTCAAATTTGTCAAAAACTGATGGTACCCATAAAATGTATTATTTTCAAGGGGGAAAAGAAACTCAGATTAGGTTTGTCATTTCTCAAAATAGAATGAGTTTGAGTTGCATTTGTGATAAATATAGTGAATAAATCCTAAGCTGCCATCATGACTCAGCATAAGGTGCTCTATCTGTATGTGAGCAGGGGGCAGAGACGGGATCTGTGGGGAGAGACCGTGGGAGTTACAGCCGGTGTCAGGAGATTTGCTGAAGAGGCATTTGTGAAGAGATGGAGGCTTTTGGAGAAAATGCAGTTACACAACCACGGTTTCCAATTACACGCACACACATCCTTGTATACACTTATATTTATTTACTCAATTGTGAATCAACGTTTAAATGTGTTTTTGTCTGATGGTAATGGCACAGACCCTAATAATACGTTTGTGTAGCTGCTGTGTAAGGTTTTTCTTCATCTGATGTTACAAAAACTAAAGATTTTGCCAAATAACCACTTACTCTTTAAGTAAATGGCTAAAGTTAAATTTTGTTATATTCCATTTGTCTTTGTAGTTAAGAGAAAAAAGCTTTAACCAAACTATAAACTTATTAAACTGCATCCATCTATCTGCAAATACAAAAAATAATAAATACATACACAATGTTTTATTAAAGTAAACTTAATTCACCAGTGCAAAAAAAATATCAAGTCCCTTGTTGTCTGGTTAAAATGAGTGTAGTTGACTCTTTTTATTTGGCAAATGAACAAACAAAAGAATAGGTGTTGTTGTGTGCTGATGCTAATGCTAATGCTAAGTGCAAAAATAGGCCTATAATTGAATCAGCCTCATAACTAAACTTGCAGAAACTGTCCATTTTGATTTGTCCCGAGTCCAGGTGTCAGTCCAGGGCTCAGAGATCACTGGTTTCCCTGATCTCCCTGGTCTCACTGCCTGGTCTCACTGGTCTCTGTTGATGATGTGAGCCACCATTGTCCTCGTCCATTTGCCCGAATGACATGACAGATGGACCTGCTACACGCTGCCCTCACACTCTGGGCCTGAACAAAACGCTCTTTACTCTTTATGAACCAGTGAATCCATGATCCTGGAATGTCTCCGTCTGACTCATCAATGGCAGAAGTTGTTTGAAACTAGTCGGGTAAAGCTAAAGACCAAAGGGATGAGCAGTCCTTTAGAGAGTCCTCGGTCAGGGCTGTCCACTGAGTCCATGGCTGTGGGGTTTATGAGGTTTGCTGTAATAACGCTCTCTGCTCTCGCCTCAGTTCTGGGAAGTGTAGAGAAGGATTCATTCTCAATCCAGGCTTTAATTAAGTTCTGGAACACGCCCAACAGGAAATGTTTGACTCAAGAGATTTGTTTTCCAACTGAGCAACTGGTAAACTTAGAGATGGATTGGCTCACAGCTGAGTTTTTTATTAACTTGCAAAAGAGGTCGTTGATAATTGAGGATGAGAGACTTCCAAGCACTATACAGCACTTTTATAGTTTCAATTAATGGTGAGGAAAGGCAGGGTAAAAGTGCTATGAGAATGACAGAAGAGGACCGGCATAACACTAGGAGGAAGACAGGAGAGGACCGGCATAACTCTAGGAGAAAGACAAGAGAGGACCAGCATAACACTAGGAGAAAGACAGGAGAGGACCAGCATAACACTAGGAGGAAGACAGACGAGGACTGGCATAACACTAGGAGGAAGACAGGAGAGGACCAGCATAACACTAGGAGAAAGACAGGAGAGGACCAGCATAACACTAGGAGAAAGACAGGAGAGGACCAGCATAACACTAGGAGGAAGACAGACGAGGACTGGCATAACACTAGGAGAAAGACAGGAGAGGACCAGCATAACACTAGGAGGAAGACAGGAGAGGACCAGCATAACACTAGGAGAAAGACAGGAGAGGACCAGCATAACACTAGGAGGAAGACAGACGAGGACTGGCATAACACTAGGAGGAAGACAGGAGAGGACCAGCATAACACTAGGAGGAAGACAGGAGAGGACCAGCATAACACTAGGAGAAAGACAGGAGAGGACCAGCATAACACTAGGAGAAAGACAGGAGAGGACCAGCATAACACTAGGAGGAAGACAGACGAGGACTGGCATAACAATAGGAGGAAGACAGAAGAGGACCAGCATAACACTATAGGAGAAAGACCAAAAGGAGAGGACCGAAAATACAAATATTACCTAAATTACCTTAAAGATACTATTTCACATTCAATAACACGGAAAGACAAAGTGAATAGTTTATTTCTGGTTTTTTAATTACCAAAACTGTGACACTGGACTTGATGGTGTCCCTTCCTGGTTTGGACCTTCCTGGTTTGGATTTATAGTTTGAATGTGGGTCTTAATCTTTATACAATGAGGTCTTTTAACCGATGGTTTGACCCTGTCCTCAGTGCTTCCTCTGTCCCCCTCCTCTTGTCCTGTGAATACACTCTGAAGGACAGAGGAGGGCAGCGGGACGTCCCATTCACTGACACACACACACACACACACATACACAGAGAGACACACACACACAAGTCAATGAATAGTCTCTAAGGCAGACATGGGCATTCTAAGGCCCGCGGGCCGTATACGGCCCGCCATGCTTTTTAATACGGCCCGCAGACCGTGTCCGATTAAAAAATGTATACATATATATCAGTCATTCATTTCATCTTGTCTCTGCAATGCCCACGTTTTCCCAATAGATGGCGCGCTGACCATTGGCGGGCCTTTTGGAGTGTCTATTTTTCCTCTTTATTTCTCTTTATCTTTCCGTTGCCATTCAAGTACTTCTGTAAAAATGAGCGGGCCAAAGAAAAGGAAAGTGGACGTTGAATGCCGTGTGTTTAATAATGAGTGGACGACAAAATATTTTCTCACTGAAGTACGATCAACAGCTGTATGTTTGATATGCCAAGAAGCGGTTGCGGTGTTCAAAGAATATAATATCAGCCGTCACTTCACCACGAAACACGCAAACTATGCTAGCAAGCAATCAACGCAAGAACGGGCTGCTACTGCAAAGAGGCTGGCAGCTGAGCTACAGGCTCGGCAGCATCTCTTTCACAGACAAACTGCAATTCAAGAAGCAAGTACCGAGGCAAGTTTCTTGCTGGCATTCAAGTTGGTGAAGGCTAGTAAGCCTTTTTCCGAAGGCGAATTTTTGAAAGAATGCATGGTCGAGGCCGCAGGTCTCCTGTGTCCGGAGAGCAAAGAGAAGTTTGAAAAAGTCAGTTTATCGCGCAGGACGGTGACACGCCGTGTGGAACTGATTGATGATGATATAGTGAGCGAGTTAGACAAAAAGGCCAGAAACTTCATTTTATTTTCAATAGCACTGGATGAAAGTACTGACATAAAGGACACTGCTCAGCTTCTTATTTTTATCCGAGGGATAAATGAGAGTTTTGAGATAACAGACGAGCTTTTGAGCATGGAGTCGCTGAAGGGGAAAACGCGAGGAGAGGACTTGTATGAACAGGTGTCCGCTGTCATCGAGAGAAGGAATCTACCATGGAGTAAACTGGCTAACGTCACCACGGATGGATCGCCAAATTTAACTGGAAAAAACGTCGGGCTGCTTAAAAGAATTCAGGATAAAGTGAAAGAGGAAAACCCTGCGCAGAATGTTGTTTTCCTTCACTGCATCATTCACCAGGAGTCTCTGTGTAAGTCTATATTGCAGCTTAATCATGTTGTGGATCCAGTTGTTAAACTTGTAAATTTCATACGTGCAAGAGGCCTTAATCATCGTCAGTTCGTTACGTTCTTAGAGGAAACCGATGCGGCTCATCAGGACCTACTTTACCACTCCCGTGTCCGCTGGTTAAGTTTGGGGAAAGTGTTGCAACGCGTGTGGGAGCTCAAAGAGGAGATAAGCTCGTTTTTGGAGTTAAAGGAAAAATCCGAAGAATTTCCCGAGCTGAGTGACGAGAACTGGCTTTGTGACTTTGCGTTTGCTGTGGACATTTTCTCACACTTGAATGAGCTGAACGTGAAGCTACAGGGGAAAGATCAGTTTGTACATAACCTGTACACAAATGTGACAGCCTTCAAATCCAAGCTGATTTTATTCTCCAGACAAATGTCAAACAAATCTTTCACTCATTTCCCCACACTAGCCACGCAGAAAGAGGCCACCCGAAACACGAAGAAATACTGCAAATCACTGGATGACCTGCAGAGAGAATTCCGCCGTAGGTTCTCTGATTTTGAAAAAAATGACAAGTCACTCCAGCTGGTGTCCTGTCCCCTGTCACAAGACCCTGACACCGCACCGCAGGAGCTGCAATTGGAACTGATCGATCTTCAGTCCGACTCTGCCTCCAAGGAGAACTTCAAGTCTCTTAAACTGACTGACTTTTACGCTTCACTTAACAAAGCCACGTTTCCAAACCTGCTGAGATTGGCACAGGAGATGATAGTGTTGTTTGGCTCAACATACGTGTGTGAGCAGACGTTCAGCGTCATGAACATCAACAAAGCTCGTCACAGATCCAAGTTAACGGACCAACATCTCAGATCTATCTTGAGAATTGCCACAACAAAACTAGCCCCAGACTTTGATGCACTGGCTAAGAAGGGAGACCAACAATACTGTTCCCACCCCACTGTGGTGAGTTTTTCTACTGTGTCATGACAAAAAATACATTTGGAAAGGTTGAAATTGCGTGTTTTGATTAAGTTGGCATTAAAAAAAGAGTTGGGTAATTATATGTTTGATTAAGATTAAGAGATCACTTTATTTGTCCCACAGTGAGGATATGTCGATGTTGCATCACAAGTGTGAAGGTTAAAAGTAATATAATTCATGTTATTTCAATAAATGTTGATTTCTTTAACTTTACGCCTTTAATTGTATTTAAATCAAATGCAATCTCCAGGTTTGATAGATCGGAGTATATTTTAATCTATTTACATTGTCTCCTCCCAGTATGGTGTCCAATAGTGTGTAAATGCAGTATCTTGCATAGACAAATGTACTACCAGGATCAGGACTATTTTGCACATTTGAAAGATGCAGTGCTCAATGTTAGTGCATTTATTGAAGTTTTTTTGCATGTGCTTACTGTGCTATAAGGTTTGCACTCTACATGTAGCGATTTAGTATTAAGGCTATCCAAACGCTACTGAACCGGCCCCCCTGTAAAAAAAAATTACCCAATGTGGCCCACAAGCCAAAAAGTATGCCCACCCCTGCTCTAAGGAGTCAGGAAATCAGGAAAAGAAAAGAGGTTCTTAACTTTCAAGTGCATCACAGACCAACTGTAATTAACTTAGCTTGACACTATTAAGTCTGTCCAGCATAAAACTTATAGAGACTTTTAAGATGGTATAATGATGGTATAATGTTGTGTGGATTTTAAATATTTTGCTGTAAGTTAACGCCGCAGAACCCAGACATATAAATATTTTTTGAAAAAAGATTTGCCTCAGTCCTGGGTCTACAGCCTCAGTACTGGATCTACAGCCTCAGTCCTGGATCTACAGCCTCAGTCCTGGATCTACAGCCTAGAGACCATAGAATATATTCTTTTGACTATGACACTGTAATATTCTCATTATCACATGGAGCAGACGTTCACCTTCATACACTGCTCACACACCACAGTTTGACACATGTTCTATTTTTAGACCAGTTTCTGACGAGACAAAACAAGGACACGGCTCCACTTTTCTACTTTTTTGTCAACCTGCAAACCCCCTTTTTTAAATACTCCCAGCAAACACACAGTACAGTTACTCTGTCATATCATCTCAGCCTGTGTTAATTATTGGGTAATTATTTGGAAAAACTTACCCAATAATTCAAAGCATCAAAACAAAACAAAAAAGTACTAAAGGAAGACGTGTAGGAGAGAGAGTGATGCCTACAGTTAGAAAGGCGTGGGAGACGTGTAAGGTGGAGGAAACCTATGCAGGCACGAGGAGAACATGCAAATTCCACTCAGAGAGGCCCCTTTCTGTACTGAGGTCTGGATTTGCTTATTTGAGCTCTGTTAACAGGTGGGAAGGGCTAACTCCTTTTGCAGATTGAAACGATTGGATCTGAGTTTACCGTGACGTATGTAATGCGCCTGAGTTAATCGCTAGTATTTAACCTAGCTTTAGCATTTAGCCTAGCTTTAGCCTTCTCCTTTGCCACTAACGGAGCCCGTGGGGAGTAGAGCCACAACATCTTTGCAGCAATGATATTTCCCAAACATTCCTCTTGCTCCGGCTTCAATTTCTTGATATTTGGAGCTAAAACAGAACGGATTAATTTACAATCACATTTACCGCCATTGAAAACTACAACCATCAAATTCGGCGCAAACTCTTGACATCAGCGGCACCTCCCTACAACACCCGCCTCCTCCGCTCGCTGATTGGTCGGAGCGGATTCAACCAAGGAAACTGCAGCCACTAGGATCAGACCCAGACGTACATGTAGGAAATGATCATTGACCAGAGTTTACGGATGGCTAAGACCAGACTAGCCCTGCTCCAACCGGGATTCAGACCCAGACACTTAATGCTGAGAAGTGAGAGCGCTAACTACCCAAACTGTTGCCTTTTGGACGCTCATGTTTAAAATCAATAATGACTTATGTTTAATACACCACACTCTCATTAAACATGATAAGTGAAAGTCGATCTTCTACTCAATCAATCTATCGATCTCTCATCGCTGTGTAATGTCTGCGGGTCGGCGGTGTCAAGTGCACACGGCTGTACGGACTAATGGCACCCAACAGGGCTTTTAGAACTCACTGCATTATTAATATTCCACAAGTGTAGCTGTACATAATCCTGTTGCTCCTGATGCAATAAAAAGACAAGACACAGAAGGTCTGAGTGATGCTGTGGGAGTACAAATAATATTATAGCGAGAGGCCTTCAAAGATAATTGTATAAAGCTGTCGTTCTCATTTTGGTCTGGGGACATTTTAACCACCTCAGTCCACATTCTACAGCAGGGGTGCTCAATACGTCGATCGCGATCTACCGGTCGATCGCAAAGGTAGTATTGGTAGATCGCATTAAATAAATGAAAAAATTACACATTCTAAACAAATATATACAAAAAACTCCGGGCAAAGTGGAGATTTTTGAAAACTCTGTTAATGCATTTGTGTGTAGACAGAGATAACCGGAGTTTTGCGTTCTCGCACGCCACAGTACCCCCCTAAATTCCTCTGATCACTGAAGCATGGATCATACTACCTTAAAAACTGTTCACTGTGAGATGCTCGCAGCAGCGAACATCCTCGCTCCACATCAGAGAGCAGCAAAGTGATCGCGGGGACTCACGCTAGAAAACAACCAAACCAGGACTAAACCAGGACTAAACCAGGACTAAACCAGGACTAAACCAGGACTAAACCAGGGCTGAGGACGGGGTCATTGCTTGTAAACATACGTCTTTACTCTGAGTGTCTTCTATGACTGTAAAAGTGCCGTTACCGGCATCTGCATCAAAGCTCCGCCCACTTCTGTGTTTTTCCCCAACGCAGGACAGGACGTAAGAGACGCACATGTTTGGAATGTTACGAATGTGATTGATAATGCAGATGTGTGGATGCAAATTATTTTATAAACTGAGGAGGGGAAATATTTGGATTTAAAAAAAATAGGCATGGCACATGGACATGGCACCACAGTCAAATGACATCTGTGTTTTACTCAGTAATGTTTTACTGACACTTAGGTGACTGCACATGCGCAAACAACCGCGCTCAGTGCAGGAAAGCTAAAGCACGACAAACTTGTCAGCGAGTTACCACCAATTTTCCGGACTATGCATCCCTGGCCGATTCAATTCAGTGCAAGTCATCAGAGTAAACTCGGGTAATGACAAAAAATGTACATAGGTAATTGTGTTGTGTTGTGCTATATTGGCTCATGCGGTTTTGCATGTACATAAACATACATTGTAGGTATACAGAATATTTTTTGAAATAAATATATGATTTGCATTTTTGTAGTAGGTAGATCATTTTGACTTGATCCTTTTATAAGTAGCTCGCATGCTGAAAAAGTGTGAGCACCCCTGTTCTACAGCCTCATTCCTGGATCTACAGCCTCAGTCCTGGGTCTACAGCCTCAGTCCTGGATCTAGTCTCATTCCTGGATCTACACAGTCTCAGTCCTGGATCTACACAGTCTCAGTACTGGATCTACAGTCTCAGTCCTGATTCTACAGTCTGAGTCATGAATCTACAGTCTCGGTCCTGGGTCTACAGCCTCAGTCCACGTTCTATAGCCTCAGTCCTGGATCTACAGTCTCAGTCCTGGATCTACAGTCTCAGTCCTGGGTCTACAGTCTCAGTCCTGGGTCTACAGTCTCAGTCCTTGATCTACAGCCTCAGTCCTGGATCTACAGTCTCAGTCTTGGATCTACAGTCTCAGTCCTGGATCTACATCCATTCCGTCCATATATGAGCTTTTTTCTCTTTTTCTGAATAGTTCTTTTAATTAAAGTGATGAAATATAAGTCTCCCCTTGTTCTTGGTCTGTTGTGTTTTTGTCCCTGATTCGTCTTGGTCTTGGTTTGAGTTTGTTCTGTTACATCCCGGATTTTGTTATTTTTTTGTGTTATTTTATTACATCTTGATCTTTATGGCAGACTTGCATTTTGAGGCCTTCAGTTTTCAATCCCCCCAGTTTCTTTCTGGTCTATTTATTTATTTATATATTTTTTTGGTTGTATCCTGGATGTTGTTATTTTGTATTCATTAAATCTGGTATGTTTGCAGTTTGTTCTGTGCTCATACCAAATCATTCCAAGCCCTCCCTGTAATACCCCAGCTCATACGCCAGAGGAAAATCTGCCATAATTCACCAAAAAGCCTGTGGAATACTTTCCCAAAGAGCATCAACATTCCACTACTTTGGAGAGTCCGAGTTTTCGTTCCATCTCCCGGCTGAGGCTACACCCTCTACGCCAACATCACAAATTCCATCTGCAACTCTCCTGGAAAGTTCAGCCGGTCCACAGCCACAAGTGAGATTATTAACAAGACCGGGTTTTCACTCAACACCTCCTGAACCGTGGAATAAAGATATTTTGTAAAATGAGTGGATGCTGTGTCTTGTCGATAAGATTGGCCAATATATATTGGCCAATGAAAATTATAAAAGACACATTTGGTATGAATGAAGGAATGTATGTTTTGCTGTGTGTGTGTTGCATAAGTTTATGAATGGACACACAGGAGAGAAGTCTGTTTGCCAGAATTTTAGTTTTTGTAATATGGTTTTTGTTTGCTTCATTTTTGGGCTTACGTTTTAATCATGTTTTTCTCATTTGTCTTCACACGTTTGGACCGAAGGAGCGGAGCTACATGTTTCTGCCAAAATGTCCTCATATTTGAGTGTTATTCAGATCTAAAAACCCCTCCAGGTCTGAAGATCTGAAATGCTGCCTCCTCATGTTTAGTCCTGACTCTGGGACCAGCAGGAGACCAGTCCATGTGCTCCTCAGAGTCCCAGCAGGAGGCCAGTCCCTGTGCTCCTCAGTGTCCCAGCAGGAGGCCAGTCCCTGTGCTCCTCAGAGTCCCAGCAGGAGGCCAATCCCTGTGCTCCTCAGAGTCCCAGCAGGAGGCCAATCCCTGTGCTCCTCAGAGTCCCAGCAGGAGACCAGTCCCTGTGCTCCTC